TATATATATACATATACATATATATATATATATATATATATATATATATATATATATACAAACATATATGTTTGTGTTCAAATTGTATATAAATGTTATATAAATAAATTTGAATTTAATTGTTGTTATTTATATCATAATTTTGGACTTCTAATTGTATAAACAATTTCTGTATACATTATAAGAGCATGTTTTATTTGCAAAAGTGCAAAATATGTTTAAGCACAATATATATATAAAAGTGTTTTTATTTCATTGCAACCTTTCTTTTATCTATGCCTTATTTATAAAAACTACTGTGACATTACACAAAATAAGGACTGTCTTCAAAACCCTTTCCACATATTGAACATTTTAGAAGATCAAACTGGGACAGGAAGTGCAGCTGCAAACAGGCTTAGGGAAAATGCCAGAATGTGAGCAATCCTGCACTCTAGAGCTGGCCCCCACTATCTCCACACCCATGGTCCACATACGGCCAACATTAGCACCGCCATCTGGTCTGGTGGAGATTCAGAACCAAGCCAAGAGATCCTAAAATCTAACGCCTGATGACAACTTGGATACCATTAAAATCTGATATAGGCACTGGAACAGTGAATACATTAAAAGCCTCAAGAAAAGGACCGTTTGAGCCACCAGAAACAGTGAAGAAGCTCTCAGTTTTACAGTTGAGAAACTGTAGCTGTCACAGATGAATCAAAAGGGATCTTCTGACAAGCATTACATTTTGAAAAAAGCATGTCAGCATGAGTCTCACAGGCTCTGGAGGACTTAATAATGTTCTACCCGAAGCTTGCTTTGAAAGTGAGAGCTGACAGAGTGGTAGTGATCCCTGTAATTTAAGTCCACAGCCACAATGAGCCACAATGTATTTTGGAGGTGCATAGGCACTGTAAATTACAAGGGTATAAAATACCCCCCCACCCCATGCTGACACAATATTTACAGCAAGTCCTGCTGGCTCACATCAAGTCTTCTGGGTAAATAAAGTGGCATATGATCAGCAATCAAGAGCTGATGACTACCGGACTGACCCACGAGACAGGAGAATCATAGTTTTTAATCTCGTGACACCGGTAAAAAATCCAACACTGGCATTAGGTGTCATGATGTTTACAAATTGGTCATTACTGGCTCACATTTTTAGCATAACATTACTGGCAAAAACATACCCCGCAAGCCAATAACCTCAACTTGCTTATATCTGCC